ATTTTCAATTAAATTTCACCGTAGGCTCTAAAAATTACGCTAATCACAATGACGTAATTGATTTCAGGTTCTGTGGCCGATAAGGCCTTCAATTAATTTCCAAAGCAGATAATCAAACAGATATTCCTACGGTGAATAGATAGAAATTCAAAACCACATATTTTCACATAATGGCACACAAAATCATATTAAACACATAATCACATTCATGTTTAGGACCAATTAACATATTACGGAATAGGGATATCACAGTCTTCCCCCCTTTAGGATGTTTGGTTCTCCAAACTTATTTTACCTTCGTCGGGAAATAAATGTGGATAGCGTAGTCGCATTTCCTCATCTTTTTCCCATATAGCATCCGTCCCATAATGTTCTTTCCATTCCACTATCACCATTGGGATGGACTTGTTCCTGTAAGCAATCCCTGCTGGTGGACTAACCTAAACACGACTTAGGTGATGCCCCACTTCTCCTAACTCCTTTCTACCCTTATTTGGCACAAACCCAGGAATATAAATACGCATAATACAAGTATAGAATAAAAAATTATAACATATATGGTCTCATGTTTTACTGTTGAGGTAGAGGCCTAACGGCGGCTGCCCACACATAGATATGTTTCTGTATTTGCTGTTGGATTTTGTGAGTTTGTTGTTCACAGAATTCTACCTGTTGTGTAGCCCACGGCTGAAGATACGGATCTTGAAGAAATGTTAGATAATTATTACGACTTGTAAAATAAAATTCTAAAACATTTAATAAATCAACAAGCAAATTTACAGAGGGCATACATTAAAGAAAGAAATACTTACAATCACAACCTTCAAAACAACTTAATTCTTCAACACTTAGTTTATATATTGGGGAAATTTTTACAAAAGAAGAGAGAGAGAAAGAGAGAGAGAGAGAGAGAGTGATCACCTTGAAACCACACACTCTAAAAACTTCAAATTCTAAAAAAAAACTCTAAAACCACTCTACCTTGACAAGGGTGAGGACCTTCCCTTTTATAATACAAGAAACGTAAAAGATAAGATAAGAAGAGGACATGTAGCATATCCTTGTGGAGTGGAGTCGATCGTCCTTATCCTTATGACTCAGCATTCTATCTTCTATGTCTGGTAGTGGACTCTGTATGGACAGCTGTGTGGTAGGTGGATCTGGATAACTGACAGAGCATCTGCTTTTGTCAAAAGTTGTTGTACTGGTTTTGTTTGTTTATGCCGACGGTTTTCCTGGTGGGGGATAAAGCCTATCAAGCTTTTCCTTTACCTTTTTTTTTTTAAAAATCTTTTTCTTTGTCAATTTTGTCGGCAATCATGCTGGTGAGTGAATCCCAAAAATCTCCAAAGCTGCGCTCATCATCTTCTGGTGCTTGTGATTTGCCAGCTAAAATGGCAAATTCATTTTCATCCTGGTCAGGATCTTCATGATCTTGGCCACTGGTAACAGATTTCATGGAGGTATCATCACTAGAAATAGTTTGGAGAAACTGTTCCTTCATGAATTCCATACTTTCAATAATTAATTCTGTTTCTGACAAATTAGGGTATTTTTGTCGTAATTCTGTTTGAATTTGTAAAAATGGATTTTGAGTTGGCTGGGAATAGTTTTTAAAATAACATCCCAACAGGCTTGAGAATGTGCCTTTAATTTTTGGACAGTGTCTAGTGGAGTAGGGTTCATACATTTATCCCACCATCTCACAAAGAAAACCCTTTTGAGACGTGGGATCTTATTATGATAATCACATTGAAAGTCCCATTTCCAAATCCATGGAATACCAAAACGGATTGTGAAATGGACCAAGGATTTTGTAATAGAGATATCCTTATTTACTAGTAGATGGGAATATGCAACATGCCATTCATTATAGGCTTCCCTGATTGGTACTGGTAGAACTTCTAATTATAACCCAAATTTATCCCACCAAACAAGGAACCAAGAAGGGACATCGTTTTAAAGGACATTAGGGAAGATATGGATAAACTGTGAATGATTGTTAATGGGATTCTGGTTGTAAAAAGTTTGAGTAAAAGCATCGATATAGTCCCAATAACTATATCGTGTTTCTTTGTTATAGATGTCAAGTTGGCGAGTTGTATGCGGATGGATGCCCCATGTAGTAATGGGCATAATGCTTCTGATAGTTATTTTGCCATACTGTATAGAGCTAACTGTTGTAGAGGGATCATACAAAGTATGCTTGATCTTGGCAGCTACAGTTTCAATAAGTATCTGTTCATAGACATATCGATACTGGTCAAAATGATGAGGAAATTGTTGCGTGGTAAGGTACCAGCGCTTAATTTCCCATGGATCGGACATCCATTGTTCATCTGTTGGTTCAATATAGAGGACTGTTTCCTCAGTGATACTGTTAGCAGTATACTGTTCTTTGGGCTTAAGGAGAATATCCTTAACCGTTTGATTGGATTCACCTTTACTGTTAGAGGCTTAGAGCCTGGGGAATTCTATTTGATAGGGATTGGATCCCCGACCACAGCCTCTGCGGCCTCGGCCTTTACTAGTCATGAGTTTGATGGGCCCTGCAAGTATTCACGAGTCAGAAAGTCGGGTAAAGAATTCTGTTCACCTTTAATATATTCAATATCAAAGTCAAATACTGATAAAATACTTTGTCATGTAGCAAATATCTGTTTAGATGCTAAGTTTAAAACATCCTTTTTAAAAATTCGTTTAGTTGCAGAGCAATCAACTGTAATAAGGAATGCTAATTGAGAAGATTATCTTGGAATTTTAAAACACATTTAACAATGGCTAAATATTCTTGTTTAATGGTCGGATAGTTGAAAGCAGGACCTTTCCAACTACCGGAGTGAAAACGTAAAAGTTTTTCCGTTGAAGTAGTAGGGTTAACTTGTTTCAAAATACCACCATAACCCTGGTTAGAAGCATCTGTTTCAACAATTTTTTTCCATGATGGATTAGGAAGATGAAGGCAAGGAAGTTGCTTAACTTTAGCCTTAATTTTTTGTACTGCTTGGGTATGTTCTACAGACCAAGGAGGAGGATTTTTCTATAATCGGGTATAAAGAATAGCGGCATCTCGGGATAACTGATGATAGTAGTTGCGAATATAATTTAAACTACCAAGAAATCGCTGTAATTGAGTTTTATCTTTGATTTCATTAGGAAATTTAGATGCAAACTTGATACTGCAGTTAATGGGTATAATACTTCCATTATGAATGTTATGACCCAAAAATCGTATTGTTGTCTGAAAAATTTTCATTTTTGGGACAGAAATAAACCATTTCTGATAATAATATGCTTAAAGATATTAAGATGTTTAATATGCCAATCAATAAAGGATGAGAAAATAAGATCATCATCTATATAACAGATAGCAAATTCTGTATAAGGAGTAAAAATGTCATTCATGATATGTTGAAATTCTGAAGGAGCATTTTTCAAACCAAAAGGCATAACGTTCCATTCAAAATGCCCAAAATGTATGGCAAAAGCGGTTTTACATCGATCCTTTTATAAAACAGAGGCACTTGCCAAAAATGAACGAAAACCGATGCAAAACGAATGCTCGGGGGCCAAAACACGCAGTTCGGGATCCCGAAAATGGGCTGCCAAGCACCGAAAGTGGCGTTCGGCCACGAAGTGGGTTTCTCAGGCCCCAGTGTCCCTTGAAAGGGAGAAAATAAGATGTATGCCAAAATTAGAGCAAACGAAGATGGTTAAGCGGTCCCGAACCGAGGCACACGGCCAACGGTCCCGAAAAACCGGAAACCGGACTCCGAAATGGGCAAAATGGCCTGCGGCCACAAAATGTAGCCCACGGCCACTGAGAGATGGTCTACTGGACCTCTTCCTCCCCTCAGGAAAAGAAACAGAGAAAACCGAGTCTGGTTCGCAAACCGAGGCAAGGCACAGAAGAGGGTTCGGAAGTCCGGAGGCAGGGCTCGCAGCCAAGACTCTGAAACTTCTGAACGAGCACATTATGCAACATCACCAAGCGCCCAATTGGTGACGTCTGAGTCTTAAGGTCGGTCAAAAATGGGGTGTCTACACTGACGTAATGGGTATGTGGAGACACCGGGTAAACACCCCAACTAAACTTGAATTTTTTAGGCAAGAATATTCCATTCCTGCCGATGTCCACTTGAGGCTGGCTGAAGATAATGACTCTATCATGCCCACAGACAATTCAATGCCCTTTCCTATAGTAGCTTTTACTGAGTGCGGACTCCGGCTTCCACTTAATCCTCTTTTTCGTGAGGTTCTCCACTTCTATAAATTGAACCCCATGCAACTTACCATCAACTCCTATCGAGTGATTAATGGTATCATAGCCCTAACCAGGCAGGAAAATGTTAGGATCACCCTTGCCGATGTACAATATTGTTATACCATGTGCTCCCTTAACCTGAAGGAAAGAGGTTACGTCTACTACCTCAAGCCGAGGTCTACCGAATACAAAATTGTAGCCGACCTCCCGGACTCCAATAAGGGAGCCGGGGATGACTTTGTCATTGCTTCGGGAAATTAGGAATTTGGTCCAGACGAAAATGTTCACCTCTACCCTCTTCCTCGAACAGTTAAAGAGGGCAAGGGTAAGAGCCCAGCATCAATACTTAGTTATTTCTTTTCCAAGTCTTCAAAACTTTGTTTGTTTCTAATGTCTGTTTGTTTATCCTGCAGATCTTCACCAGCCACCAAAAAACTTTCGTCAATCGTACTTCCTAGGAAAAGATTTAAAGAAGCTCCTTGACCTTCCAATTCGCAAGCGCAAGGCTCCATTATTACTAAACTTTATTCCGACATACAAATCCACATTGCCCGACGTCCCGAAGAAAAAGAAGAAGAGCCTTTCTCCACCTACTGCCACAACTATACCTGCTTCTTCATCCCGAACAAATCAAGAGTCCACATTTGACCCAACCAATCAACCATCCACTTTGGCCCCATACTTGATCCCAATACCAGAAAAAAAACGTCGGCGACGCCTTGTCAAAACTGCCGAAATGGGTCGCGCAAAGCCAATTGCCCAAAATCTCCTAGCCGACCTCCCGACTGATGCTGATGCTGTACCAACCCAACCAATGCCCCCACCGAAGCCAAGAAGAATGAAGAAGGACCAGCCTAAGGCCAAGGCTACTGAGGTTGAGGCTGAGGATACTTTGCCTATCTCAAAACTGGCTGAGAGTAAGAAGACTTCTTCTGCTCCTTCAAAAAGGTCTGCCGAGACCCAGCCCTCTGAATTCACCCAATCAAAGAAGCCGAGGTCTTCTTCAGCTACTACTTCGGGGTCAAAGAAACCCGATGTCCCCTGGGCCCCAAAGTTGACTTTTGAGGATAGGCTAATTATGTCAACTGAGAGTGCCGACGACATTAATGTCGGTGTCGCCCTCAGCACTGCTCTTCTTCTTCCAAACGATCTGGAACAAAATGCTGGGTACAGCGAGTATGAAAACTACGCGCTAATGCTCCAACACTCCGTTCAAGTAAGCGTTTCCAGTTTTGACTTTTCTTTCTGCTTTATACTTAAAAGACTTTCTAATACTTCTATCTTTTTTCAGGCCATCCAGCACGCCCATTCGTTTTCAATGCAATCTTTTGAAAATCGGCAAAGATTGGTTGACATGAAGAGGGAGGTTTCTGCCCTCAAAAAGGAGAACAAAGCTATTTTGATAAAGATGAAGAAGCTGGAAGATCAGGCCGAGGTTGCCACTAAGGCCCAACAGATGGCCGAAGAAAAAGCGGAGTCTGCTGAAGCCATCAAAAAAGTTGCCGAGGCCGAGAAGAAAGATGCCGAGGTAAAAAAGACTCAAGCCGAAAAAGAGCTCAAGCAGGCCCTGGCCACTAAAAATGCCGAAATTACTGAAGCCGATGAAAAAGCTTATGCCCAAGGAATGGCCGATGTTGCTGAGGACTACAAACTGCAAGTTAGGCAGGCATGCAACAGGGGCTTTTCCCTTGGTTGGATGTCCTTGGCCAAAAAGCTCAGTGTTCCTGAATATTCTCCTCTGCTCAAGGCTGAAGCTATTCCTCTCCCATTCCCTCCTCCTGCTCCATCTTCAAGTCAAGCTGAAGATGAGGCAGAATCTAAGGCTGAGGATGAAGATAATAATGAAGATGAGGCCTTGGTGAGGAAATCCAAGGATGCTATTGAGGCCAAGTCCCCTCCTTCAACTGAGCAAGTCATGGACTTAACTTTGGATGAAGAGGGTGATGAGATTGGGGAGGCGCCTGGGGAAGTTGCTACAGGGATATTATCATCCGACCTCCTTTTGGCTGAAAGAAGTCTTGACAAAACGCTTTCAGAGATTGATGCTGAGCTTGAGGCAGAAAAGATTGCTGAGGAGGTTCCACCAGAATCTTCCGAGGTCCATGCCCAAATTGCTCATGAAATTAAAGAATCATAACTTCCATGTCTTTTGTACTTTTTTTGTTTTTTGGACAATATAAGTTTCTTTGTATGGCCGATGTGCCTTCTTCAGAACAGTTATTCTTAGATTGTTCCCGCTTTTATGAAGGACTACAACTGTATTGCCGGAATGCTTCAATCTTTTAATTTTTGTTTGATTTGCTTCTGCATGATTCTGTACTTAGAATATTTTGCTACCTTTGTGCAATCTCCTCGGGGTTACATGCCTCGGGTACAACAACTTCAAACTTTACTTCGGCAAGATATAGACCTGAAAACTCTTGATAAATTCCAACAAGTGTTTAACATATACTATTCAATATTAACTCTGCAAGTTTCTTCTCAAGTTTCAATAAGTATGTAAATAGTGATCTCGGTCTAAACTACTTGTAAATTGCTACAAATTTCAACAAGTGTTTGAATAATATACTTAGTTTTTACCTTAACCTGTAAATTGCTTTAAATTTCGACGGATGATCACATGTCGGCTTAACATTATCTTGTAAATTGCTACAAATTTCAACAAGTGTTAAGCATCTTCTTTGGGTGGATCAACCTGTAGATTGCTATAAGATGCAAACTATAACCTTGGCTTTACTTTGACTTGTAAATTGCTACAAATTTCAACAAGTGAGGAGAAGCAGTAATCTCGGCTTATCTTCAACTTGTAAATTGCTACAAATTTCAACAAGTGAAGATAAGGAATCAGCTTAACTCCAACTTGTAAATTGCTACAAATTTCAACAAGTGAAGATAAGGAATCAGCTTAATTCCAACTTGTAAATTGCTACAAATTTCAACAAGTGAATTAAGGAATCAGCTTAATTCCAACTTGCAAATTGCTACAAATTTCAGCAAGTGAATTAAGGAATAATCTCGACTTAATTTCGACTTGTAAATTGCTACAAATTTCAACAAGTGAAGATAAGGAATCAGCTTGACTCCAACTTGTAAATTGCTACAAATTTCAACAAGTGAAGACAAGGAATCAGCTTGACTCCAACTTGTAAATTGCTACAACTTTCAACAAGTGAAGACAAGGAATCAGCTTAGCTTAACTTCGGTTAAGCATCATCTCGGTCTAATTTTAGTTTAAACATTATTTCGGTTTAACCGACTTGTAAATTGCAACAAATTTCAACAAGTGGAAAACGCATTCTTCTTCTTCCTGCCCCCAATGTGAACTTGAGTTCTACTTGGGTTCTCATTATTCATGTCTCCAAAAACATAAGTATGTAATTTTATCAGTCATATGTGTTGAAAGAACTCTTGAAAGAAAACTTTATTAAAGACATCGGCAAAAAATACTGCACATCTAATGATAGAAGAATTTCAAATTACAAGTGTTCCAAGGTCTTGGCAGTGCTTTGCCCTCGTTATCTTCAAGCCGATAGGCTCCATTGCCTAATACCAAAGTAATTCTGTAGGGTCCTTCCCAGTTTGGGCCAAGCTTGCCCTCTCTGGGATCTTTTTTGTTGCCGACGACTTTTCTTAAGACTAGGTCGCCGACTTGAAAATCTCTTGGATTGACCTTTTTGTTGTAAGCTCTAGCAAGCTGCTGCTGGTATACTGCTAGCTGAATTGAAGCCTTTTCTCTTCGTTCTTCCAAAAGGTCCAGATTTCGGGTTAAGAGTATGTCGTTAGTGCCATTCTCTACTCCCTGGGTCTTGATCCCTGGGATGCCGATCTCTAATGGGATGACAGCTTCTGTGCCATAAGCCATGGCAAAGGGGGATTCCCCTGTTGATCTTCTCAGCGTAGTCCGATATGCCCAAAGCACGTTGGGCAACTCGTCTACCCATTTTCCTTTTGCTGCCTGCTGCCTCTTCTTTATTCCATCCAAAATTACTTTATTGGATGCTTCTGCTTGACCATTACTTTGGGGAAAACTTGATGTTGAAAAGTAGTTCTTGATCTTGAATTTGGCACAAAAGTTCTTGATGAGTTTCCTGTCAAACTGTGTTCCGTTGTCGGCAACTATTGCTCTTGGAATGCCAAATTTGGTGATGATGTTTCTCCATATAAAGTTCTTGACGTCCACATCTCGGATTTTGGCAAGAGGTTCTGCCTCTATCCATTTTGTAAAGTAATCTGTTGCCACCAGCAAGTATTTTCTCTGCCCAGTTGCCTGGGAAAGTTTCCCAACCAGATCCATGCCCCATTGGGCAAACGGCCAAGGGCTGGATACTGGGTTTAGGTCAGCAGCTGGCTGATGTATCAAAGGTGCGAACTTTTGGCATTGTTGACACTTCTTTACGTAGGCTTCAACATCCTTTTGCATGTAGGGCCACCAATACCCCTGGGTAATGGCCCTGTGGGCTAATGATCTGCCCCCAGCATGGCTTCCACAAATTCCTTCATGAATTTCATACAGGAAATCTTCAACCTGTAAAGGGTGTACGCACCTTAAAAGTGGTCCAGTGAAGGACCTTCTGTAGAGGTGTCCATCTTCTGTCAGACTGAATCTTGCCGATTTCAATCTAACTTTGTGTGCCTCCTTACGGTCTTCTAACAACTTTCCTTCTTTCAAGAATGCAACAATTGCATCCATCCAGCTTGGCCCCATATCCACACACATTGCTTGCTGCTTTGTGCTCTCTGGTTCTATGCTTGGGCCCGACATATAGTCGACCATAATTGTTTTTGTTTTTCCAGTCTGTATTGAACTTGCCAGGTAAGCCAACGCGTCGGCGTGGGTGTTGTCATCTCGGCTGACTTGCAGTAGTCGGCAGTTCTGAAATAGGGCTGCCAATCTAATGACCTCTTTTGCATATGCCGACATCCTTTCGTCCCTGGCTGCAAATTCACCTGTGGACTGGTTAACAATAAGTTGTGAATCACAAAAAACTATTACCTCATCTGCTTCTGCTGCTGCTGCCAGTTTTAGCCCTGCAATTAATGCTTCGTATTCTGCCTCATTGTTTGAGGCCTTGAACCCCAAATGGATGGACTGTTCTATTATTTCTCTATCGGGAGATATCAGCAGTACTCCTGCCCTCGCTCCTTGACGGTTTGAACTTCCATCGACGAACAGTCTGAATGAATCGCCGATGTAGATGCTGCAGGGTCTGAGTTTTTCCTTCCTTTGCTCTTTTGCCTTTGGCTGGGCTTTTCCTTGCTTACTGGGATACTGCTCATCTTGGTTCAACGGAGCGCGATGTTTGATGGTTTCAGGTGTGGATTCTGCCATGAAGTCGGCCAAAACTTGGCCCTTTATTGCTGTTCTCGGCCTGAACTCCAGGTCATATTGGCCCAGGGCCACTGCCCATCTTGCTATCCTTCCTGTTAAGTCTCCTTGTTGCAACAAGGACTTCAGTGGGTGCTCTGTTAGGACCACAATCTTGTGCGCCTGAAAATAATGGTTCAGTTTCTTGGAAGCCATTACTAAGGCCAGCATTAATTTCTCCAGTGGTAGATACCTTGTTTCTACGCTGGCCAAGGTTTTGCTTATATAGTAAACCGCCTTTTGCTCCCCTTTTTCTTCTCTGATTAGTACTGCATTTACTGCGTGTTCTGAAACTGCCAAGTACAAAAACAGTTCTTCCTCTGGTTCTGGATTGGAAAGGACCGGAGTTGTGGTTAAGTACTTCTTTAGGTCGGTTAGAGCGGCTTCGCATTCTTCTGTCCATAGAAAGTCTGTGGCTTTTTTCAACAAGTTGAAGAAGGGTCTGCATTTATCTGAGCTTCTGCTGATGAATCTGTTTAGGGCTGCGGCCCTTCCAGTAAGCATCTGAACCTATTTTGCCGACGTCAGGCTCTGCAGTTCAAGGATGGCCTTGATTTGATCTGGGTTGGCCTCAATGCCCTTTCTCGTTACCAGATACCCTAAAAACTTGCCTGATCCAACTCCAAATGCGCACTTTGATGCATTGAGTCGGAGTCGGTATGTTTTGAGTATATCAAAGACCTCTTTTAGGTCGGCAAGATGACCCTTAGATTCCTTGGTCTTCACGACCATGTCATCGATGTAGACTTCTACCGTTTTGCCAATCAGGTGCTTGAACATTTTTGTTACTAACCTTTGGTAAGTTGCTCCTGTGTTTTTCAACCCAAAAGGCATTACCTTGTAATAGTACAAGCCTTTAGGGGTGATGAACGCAGTCTTCTCCTCGTCTGGTGGGTACATGGCAATCTGGTGGTACCCCCTGTATGCATCCAAAAAACTCATCCTTTCGTGCCCTGAAGTTGCATCTACTAGCTGGTCAATCTTGGGCAGAGGAAAGCTGTCTTTGGGGCAGGCTTTGTTGAGGCTGGTAAAGTCTACACAGACCCTCCATTTACCGTTCTTCTTTTTCACTACTACTGTGTTGGACAGCCATGTCGGATACTGAACTTCTCGGATGGCCCTGGCTTTCAGAAGTTTGTCTACTTCTTCTTCTACTGCTTCGACGTGTATCAAAGTCGGTCTTCTGGCTCGTTGAATTACAGGTTTTGCCGACTTGTCGACATTCAGTTTGTGGCAAGTGACCTCGGGATCAATGCTAGGCATTTCATAAGGTGTCCAGGCGAACACCTCAATGTTGGCTCTCAAAAAATCTTCCAGTTCTCTTTCCTCTTCTTCGGCTAAACCTGAACCGAGAAGAAAGAAACGTTCTTCGTCGCCCTCCTGGACTAGGATTTTTTTTAGTGTCTCTTCACTCTTTTCGGTTGGCTCCTTGCCGATATCATCTAGGACCTCCATGTCCTTGTCTTCAATCTCTGCCTCTTTTGGCTCTCGAATGTTGCAAGTAGACTTCGTTGCTGCCATGGAGCAACTTTTTGCCTGCAGTTGATTTCCTCTGACTTCTTCAATTCCATGCTCTGTGGGGAACCGTAGTAGTTGATGTAATGTTGAGGGAACTGCCCCCGTTGCGTGCAACCATGGTCTTCCCAAGATGATGTTATATGGTGAAGGTGTGTTAATCACCATAAATTCTGTTTTGATTTTCTTAGTACCAGCTTGTACTTCCACGCTTGCTGCGCCAAGTGGCTATGTCGGCGTTCCATTGAAGCCGACCATAGGGTTGCTGGATTGTTCCAGGTCGTCAGGATGAAGGCCCAGCTCCTTGTAACATCTGACGTACATGATGTCACAAGAGCTGCCTTGATCTATTAGGATGCGTTTTACTTGGCATTCCCCAACCTTGAGGGATACTACCAAGGCATCATTACGCGGATGCTGGACCATATCTAGGTCGGCTTCAGTGAAGGTTATCATTGGTCCTTGGCTTTCTTCAGGCCGAGGTCTTTTTTCCCCGATTTGGTAGATATGCTGTAAATGCCTTGCCCTCTAGGTCTCTCCTCTGACTTCATTCTCGTTGACCCTTGAGTGGATCACATTAACCACCCTTGGTCCTCCTGCCTGTGGTTGTTGTGCTGGAGGTGGTGGAGCTGCTGGTGCTTGAGGCAATCTTGCCTGTTCTTCTCTGGTCCTGGCCTCATTAACAAGGTCCCTCAGATGGCCTTGCCTTACCAAGTCTTCTAAGTGTGCTTTTAGGGCTTTACAACCCTGGGTTGGGTGCCCTTCTTCATTGTGGTAAGCACAACGCCTACCCATGTTTCTTCCCATGAATTCCTCTGGTGCTCTTGCTGGAGGTCTGAAATAGGGTTGGTTTTGTATTTGATCCAAGACTTTATAGATGGGGATTCGGAACACCGTCGTCACTGTCTGTTTGCCCTTCAATTCTGTTTCTTGTTTGGATGGTCCATTGTTACCTCGGCCTCGCTTCGGCGAGCCGTTTGCTTTCTCCTGCTTTATCGCTTTGTTTCCCGATGTATCTTCCTCGGCTCTGGCGTATTTCTCAATTCTTGCCATGAGTTCTTCCATGCTTTTTGGCAGTGTTTTTGCCAAAGACTTCCGTAGTGGGCAGTCATCTTTCAGGCCGTTCTTGAAAGATACGACCGCCACTTCTTGGTTGCATTCGGGTATTCAATTGAACACCTCGTAGTATCTCTTCGCGTAGGCCCTAAATCCTTCTTCCTTGGTGATTCTTAAAGCCATCAGGGCGTCGACCCTCAAGGGCTGTAGTTTGTTTGTTACAAACCTGGCCACAAACATCTCGGCCAGGCCTTCCCATGTCTTTACGCTTCCCTTTGGTAGCTTATGGAACCAATCGGATGCAATTTTTCCAAAGGATGAGGGAAATACTTTGCAGAGCAATGGCTCGTTCCCACTGTATAATGCCATTGAATTCAGGAATAGTCCAACATGAAAGTTGGGGTCTGACTTACCATCATAGATTTGGAACCTCGGCATACTGAATCTCTTTGGTGCTTCAAATTTGTCAAGTTCCACCGAGAATGGTGTTCTCGGCTTAACTTTGGAAGTCACCTCGGCTTCAACATTCTACTGTCTCCTTTTGAAGTAGTCCCTCAAGTCTTCCTTACTCCTACCTGGAGCTCGGCTATCTCTGGACTTCAATCTTTTTGGCACACTACTTTCGGCCTCGTGGTGGGCCCGTTTCGATCTTTCTCCATGGGTTGTGTCAAAGCAGAGTGCTTGCCCTTGAACATGACGATGTTCTTTGGGCCCTGGATCCTTCATGCGATGTGTCCTTTGGGACTCTCCTTGCCTTGGATCCTCTCGTTCGACTTCCCTGGAAGGTCGGTGAGAGTGGCTTCCACTCCTGGTGTGCTGAGGGGCTTCGGGGATTGCTTTTCTTCCTCCCTTCTGGGTATTAATCGCTGGCATTGGCGTATCTTGCAGCGGGTATGGTGGCTGCATAACATTATTTTGCATCATGAAGTTGACGACCGACTGTAGGTCCGCCAACTTGTTTGCCAAATCTTTTACTTCCTCATCCCTCCGTAGGCACCTATCCCTCCATACCTGAAGGTTATCTTCGTTATAGTACTGGTCTTGGTCTGTTTTCTTTGAAGTGTTGCCCTCCTGGCCGACATCTTTCTCGACGTGGCCTTGGTCATGAATTCCTGCATTATGGTTGTCTCTTTCAACATCAAGGTCAATTGGTCTGCCACTTCCAGTGGGAGTGTTGCCCCCAATGTTTTTCCTCTGTTCGTTATTGGCCATCTATTCTTCTAAGATTCCCACAGACGGCGCCAAATTGTGTGGGTGATTTTTCGACCACACTACCCGCCTAGTAATCAGCTGGAGAGCACTGGCAGAGTAGATGGCTTTAGCAAACCTGTAACAGAAAGAAAAAGGCTCCGGCAGTGGCTCTTCCACCCGGGGGCACTCCGACGATCAAGTCAGTATATCTCTTAAAGATAATCAAGTGCTAAACTCACAAGCTTGAGTATAAAACTGCGTACCTTAGACCCATGGGGGTGCCTCTCTTTTATAGTTTACTCAATCCTAGTCCCACTAGAAGCCTGACTTTTATGGACTCCAACTTAGTACTTACTTTGGATTCCTCAATAGACAAAGATAAACTCTCTTAGAACTTTATCCTTATCTTGGCAAAGTCTTCTCTTTTCTCCAGGACTCTTATCTCTTATCAGCTTATCTCGGATTTCGATATCTTCGGAGATAACCTCGGTATCGCCAAAATAACCTCGGCACAGCTACCATGACACGTGGCACCTCGGCTGACACGTCGGCGTCACCTTGCCACGTGTTGATACTCAGAAAATATATCCCCACAGATTACAATGGCATATGAGGCTACAAAGAGGAGAATAGCTCTTGATGCCATGTTAATTAGGTTTAAAAGTGTGTGTAGTGTCGTTATGATAGGTATACTCGATTGTGGTGCTTGGGATTTTGGGTTAGGAGTGAGATATTTGTAAGGGTTTGGGTTGATTTGTTTTGCAGGCCTAGGTGGATGACAAGAAAAATTGGAAACTACAAGCCAACCTCGTAATTGCTGTTGTTTGATTTTGTTATTATTTGTGTTTACAAGAAAGTGAAAAATGTTGAAATCGTCAAATGTGGCGACTTCTGTTTTTGCAATTGTGGGTTCAAACCCAAGCGGTTTTGGCATTGTGGTAAGGTTTTGGGGTTTAAGTCTCAAGATCACAAGTTTAATTTTTTTCTTGGGTTAATTTTCTAGGCGAAGCATTGTTGGTTAGGAGGTTGGACATCAAGGATGCCTAATTAGTTAATTCGTGTGGGTTTAATGCTCCCCTGCTGTGCGAGTCCTGACTTAATCGAAACTTACTTTGGGAGGTCGGGACAAGCTTCCAAGTTATAGTCTCTTACTCGGAATGGACAATAGGACACCTTGGCGATCTCTTCATGGGGCGCTGCCTTGGACCTGCGGGAGGGTGGGAGGATTTCCCTGTAAAAAAATAAAAAAATAAAAAAAAAATGTGGGTTCATTGTTCTTTATTGGTTTAGGTTTCGTTTGGGAACAAGTTATTTTCGGAATTTTTTAATTTTTTGACTAAAATATGAAATAAAAAAAATTAGTATATTTTAAGTGGTTTTTTAATTTTTTATGAAAAGATGTGCAAGAAGCAAAGAGAAAAGGGAATCTTTGACTTTTTGATATATTTTATAGACTTTTTAATTTTTTTAGTAACTTTTTGACTTTTTGACTAAAATGTTAACTTGCCAAACGAGTCCTTAATTATGTAAGATGTCCTATTGCCATGCATCAATTTTAAGTGGAACAATGGACATATGGGAGAGGGAAATGATGTATAAGTTTATTTTTTATATCTAATGATGTGTAAGTGATATGATTGCTTAATAATTAGAAAATATATAAGAGAGAGTTGTATCTAATACCTTAATTGATTGCCACATCACTGGACTTAAAAATAGGTCTAATTTTTTTATCTTGAATAGTAACGCTCAGTTGGATATGGTAAAATTTAGTCCAAATATAGCATTTTTCAAAAAAAATTACTGTATACTATCAAAATATCATATGGTAACATGGTATTTTTGATCAAAAAGAAATTGCAGCACACTAGTAAGTCAACATTTGTCTCTTAACTATTTAAATGTGAACCAGAATGTTTTATCTGTAAAATTTTTCACTACGTGAATAGTTTAGAACACTACATACATAATATCACATGATACTCTAAGACTACCAAATAATTATCCTATTTGGAGGAGTCATATCTAAAATCAAAAGCGGAAATGTGTAAGGCTTGAGTGCCCTAGCACCCTTCATTCAAAAAGAAAAATAAATTTTAAATAAAAAAATTAAATCAATATTAAAAATATAAAAGGCCCATTTAAATTTATGATTTTAAACATTAAATTAACTCAAGAGGACCCTATAGTTGATGAAAATCTAATTCTCATAGTTTGGCCCCCCAAATCCAAATGCTGGTTTCCCTGCCTAATAAGTTTGAACAAAATGATTAATCTAAAGACAAGCATTATTATTATAGCTTTTTTTTATTTTTTATTTTAATTATATTGCAAATGTGGAAACCTCTGTGAATCCACTGTTCTATTAATTGAGAACTCTTTTAATCATTTTCTAAGCATCTTTGACCACCATCGATAATACCAAGTGTCTCTTCTTGCTAACTCTATTTTGAATGTTATAAGTCTCAAATTTTTTATCAAATAAATAATTAAATGTTTACATGGGTGTGGATCCATGTAAAGAGCTATTGAAATGGTCAAGCATTGTGAACATCAAACCCATGCCGGACCTCTTCATCACCAACTTGTCTCATTTGGGATCATTCCTTATAAATTGATCATCCTCAAGCTAAATCTAATCATCCTCCAAAAAAAACAATCTCACTTTCATAAACTACTTTTATTGCAATCAATGGCCTCCTCAACCTTGTTCAAACATGTTCTGTTTTTCCTTATCTCTGTCATTGCCACTTCTTATATTGTCCAAGCCGGTGACCCAGATATCTTATCAGACTTCATAGTCCCTTTAACTTCCAACATCCCAATTGATGGAAACTTCTTCACCTTCACCGGAATGCGTGGACTTCCCGCTAACTCGACAAACCCATCAACCTTCAAGGTCACAAAAGCCACCATGGCCGAGTTCGCAGCTTTGAATGGTCAGAGCGTGTCAATGGCAGTTCTTCAGTTCCCTGCTGGCAGTGTTAACCCACCGCACACCCATCCCCGCTCAGCGGAGCTTCTTTTCGTAGTGGAAGGTAGTATGGAAGTTGGTTTTGTTGACACAACTAACAAACTTTACACTCAGACGCTTCAGGTTGGAGACTTGTTTGTGTTTCCAAAAGGATTAGTACACTACCAATACAATGCCGATGCCACTAACGAAGCCACGGCTATCTCTGCATTCGGAAGTGCAAATGCAGGTACTGTGTCAACGCCGGTAACTTTGTTCGCTACCGGGATTGATGATGGAATTCTAGCCAAGTCTTTTAAGACTGATGTTGCTACCATTCAAAAGCTTAAGGCAGGTCTTGGCGCTATGGCTTAAGTTATTTGGGAAGTCAATTACAGAATCAATCAAGAATAGTCACCTACCATTGCAAATGTTCTCTTACGATTATTATTATTATTATTATTACTTGTTCTGTTTTAAGTTGGTAATAATGTCCTTCTTCAATCTAATTTGATCTGTAATCGATATAACAAACCAAGGAAGATATGTTACTGATATGTGATTCTATTTCAAATGTTCTATATTATTATTCAAAACGAAAAATGCTAAAGAGCACTATATTTCTATCCATTTAGAACAATTTTTCCGGCGAGCCAAATCCTACTTCCTATACCAACAACGGTAATGAATGACCCTATGTCTTTGATTCAGAGCTGATTCTGAGTTTTTAAAAATAAAGCACTAATCAACTTTAATGAGTTAAAAATTCCAAAAAAAAAAAACAAAAACAAAAAACAAACAAAGACTCAGCCATCACATCATGAGAGGGACCGGCTCATTGAAATTCTCCCTAATGCTCTATATTTAGTGCTCCCAATCATTTTTGGTCTTTGATTCACCCCATACATGTGACTTCGACATGCTGCATAGTCGATGCTTTTTTTTTTTTTTGAAATGGAACAGTAAAATAGAATTTTGAATTTCTACGGCAAAAAAATCAAAACCAAGCCTGTCATGTGAATTTCGAATTTTGATGTATTGTCAAACTGTTTTGGTAAAATGTGTTGTGCTTTAATTTTACTTTTTCACCCAATAAAAAAAGTGTTTAAACACTATTAAAAAGTGTTGACCAAACTTATTCACTTAGAAGTCTTGTTCTTAAAATGTGTTTGGGCAAGATAAACATTGTAGAATTTATTGATGCATTACAAAAGTATATAAAGTACTTACATTATATAGCGTCTGATTCTTACATTTTTTTTTTAACTATGCACATAGAAACAAATCAGAAGTTAAAATTCTCCAAATTAACTAACAGTTGATAGTATTGATCCAATCAAAAGTTCTTTCCACCCCAAAACCAGCAATAAAATTTGAAAATGTCACAAGAAGCAAAATTTGAGTTAACATTCTAACTGAGTGAACAAAATTTGTTCCATAGACTTTTAATATTCTTTTGTTATATATATCCATATATTATTTATTTATATATTATTAATTATATCAAATCGGGTTTGGATAAGGGAAGGTAATATCTGCCCCCGCCCTACATAAGTGTCAGGGTGGATAAAATTCGTCCCATTTGGGTGGGTATGAGCGGGCCCCCGCGGATCGGATTAAAATAGCTATCCCTAGCTATTATTTATTAGATCAATATGTCATAATCCATTAAATTAAAGGTAAAATCGAGCAAATTAAAATAATATGGACCAAATTGACATATCGTATAAACTATAAGAGCCATTTACATAATTTACCTAAAAAATTATGGAAGAAGCGAAATTTGCAACAGCTTTTACTTTGTGAAGTTTAGAGGCATTGTCTATAACTTCATTTTATTTATTTTTATTTTTATTTTTTCTTAGAGTTTATGCCTAAATATTAGTTGCAACTTTGTTTATAACTTAGCTTGTTTCTCATGTTGGATACTAGTACATTTTTTTTTAATATGTTTTTTTGATTGTATCACTACAACAAAATGTACCTTCGGCGATCAAAATTGGTGACTAAAAAAAATTTAATCGCCAAAAGTTATGGAATTGGCGACCAAAAATTTTTTTAATCGGCAAAAGTAAAATATTTAGCTATAACTAATTAATTACAACACAACAATATATAAGCTAAATATTTAAGCTAAACAGGCTCGATATGCGAAGAATGCTCATGCTCATGCTCATGCTCGGTTTCCACCTGAAAAGCCACTATTTTGCTTCATTTGTCTCTCCAGCCGGTGATCTAATAGTGGTCACCACCCCTTCATACATGTCTCTAATTACATCAATATAACATTTTGTCACCCCTTTCTTCTCTAACACCCACCATATTATATCCTAACACTACAAGAAAATACACTTTTGGCGACTAAAAAATTAGTTGCCAAAAGTATTGATTTTAGTCGCCGAAACACATTGCCGACTAAATAATTTGGTCGCTGGCTTTGTCGGGGATACATAGTCGCCGAAGGAAATAAGTAGTACAAAATACCGACTAACCTTTTAGTAGGAAAAACTAATAGGTATTGGCAACGAAAAGAGCCTTAGTCGCTGATAAGTGACATTAGCGACTAAAATGTTAGTCTCCCAAACGGTTCATTAATTCCTTTAACTCACATATTTAGCTACTAAAAGTTTTTGTCGCCAAAAGTGAAATATCTTCGGCGACGACATTTTTAGTCGCCAATTGTGCAACTTTCAGCTACTACATGTTTAGTCGGCCATAGTTATTTTATTATGTTTTGGCGACTAAAATGTTGGTCGCCAATAATCTGTTGGATTTTACCCACTAAACAATTCAGTCGGCCATAATTGTTTTATTATGTTTTCGAGTTGTTTGGCTACTAAATATTTAGTCGCCAAAAGTCTTTTGATTTTTAGCTACTACACATTTAGTCGCCATAACTTTTTTTAAGTTGTTTTGGCTACTAAAGTTTTAGTCGCCGAAAGTCATTTGTGTTTTAGCTACTAAACATTTAGTCGCCATAACTGTTTTTAATTCGTTTTGGCTACTAAATATTTAGTCGCCAAAAGATTTATTTCTTTTTAGCTACCAATTGATTTGTCACCAAAAGCGTCATTTATATTATTGTTTTGTTTGTTTCATTTTACTAAATTTCGTCCGAACCTGTATGTATCCAGCGCAACCTGTACGTATACAACCTATATATATTTTCACCTATTCCGTAATGCATGTTTCACTTAGAACCATAAAATAAAAATGAACACCTGCTATATATATTCCAACTACAAATAATAATGTAAACTTATGTATGAACCAACCATATATATTTCAATTACAAATAATGTCATACATTCCAAATACGTTCCCAAAACAATGTCCTCTATACACAACATTTTTACTATATACTATGCATTGTAATGACCATTTGACAAGGTACAAATTACTATGGTAATATGTACCACGACAAAAGGTAATCTATATTAATTAATACTAGAGCCATTAATACAAGCTCCAAAAATACTATGTACCCCACTATAAATTATATGTACGATGCATCAAAATTCCATGGTTCATTGATGCTATACCACCAGAGCAATTAATACAAGCTCCAAAAATAGTTTGTACCCGCCAAAAATTATATGTTCGATACATCCATAGTTCACATAAAAAGTATAGGACGACAAAAAACTTCCCAACTTTGCATAAGTGTGAATTATCTTCCGGGCAAAAAAATAGAAGATCCACATGTCAATGCCAAAAGCCATCTACACAACAAAAATTACACCCATTAGTTCTATTGTAAACAAAAAGTTATAGCCATCTACAAAACACAAATTGCAAGCATGTCAATTGTAATTGCAATTGTATGTAAATATTGTTTGAATTTAGGAATTTCAATATAGTTTCTTTACACGTTAAGTTGTATTGAAAGTGCAAAGAAATTTCCAAGTAAACTCCAAGTCAAGTTTAGTCTAATGTGTAAACATATATCTATTTATTCACAACTGTACATATATAGAGATGCTTATAGAACATATATATATATATATATATTTGTAAGCTTTAATATATAAGCTTTAATATATTTGTATAAGCTTTATATGTTTTTCACGCCAACTCCCAACGTGCACGTGCTAATTACGTCCCATTTGTCCCCATAGGTCATCTTTGACACAAGGAAGCTACCCGTGCCATCAATATAGTGCTTCGGGGCTTGCTCTCAATTTTCGGCCCTCGAAGGCCTTTTTTGGGCTAAGTTTATGGTGTTTTCATGCCAACTCCAACATACACGTGCTAATTACATCCCGTCTGTCCCCACAAGTCCTATTTGACACGAGGAAGCTACCCGTGCCATCCCGGCAGTGGTTCGGGGGCTGCTCTCAATTTTCAGCACTCGAAGGCCTTTTTTCGGCTAAGTTCATGGCGCATTTCACGCCAGCGCCCAACGTACACGCGCTAATTACGTCCCATCTGTCCCCACAGGTCCTATTTCACACAAGGAAGCTACCCGTGCCATCCCCGCAGTGGTTCGGGGGTTGCCTTCAATTTTCAGCCCTCGAAGGCCTTTTTTCGGCTATGTTTATGGCGTTTTTATATGAGCCAATCCACCACCTGGTTAGCATGTGGGAGAACACTTTTAATTGATTTTAGCCTGAACACAAGTGCATCTACAATTGTGCAGGTGGATGCAAGTGTAGGCAACAAGGTGAGGATTCATGGATTTTTCTCCCTTACTTTAATGAAATTTGGTTGTTTATTCCTATGTCTATATTGTAATCGATTTCCTTGATTTCATTCTCTAGTCTGAATATACTTCTTATGAGTCAATAAGCTCTTGGAAAACAACCAAGAACCAAAGAAATTGTATGATAAGGTGATTAGAATGCATGGCACACTTAGAAGGCAGCTTATGATTGGGAAAATGTGGACGTTTTAAGGATCAAAACTTTGTTTGCATCAGCTCCTGTAACTAGGCCAAATCTGGTTGATAATCTGTTGTGGCCAGCCTCAACCACAAGTGTTCATCCAACCAGGTTGCATCAGGTTGCATCAGCTCATGTAAGTAGGCCAAATCAGGTTGAAAATGTGGAGCTTTGTTCATCAAATTAGTGTTGGTTTTATTTTTATAGATTTATTATTAAGAAACTTAATATCACATATTCATTCTTCACAGTTAGAGTTTTGAAATCAAAGCTCCTTTGTACTAGTTATATTGTACTAAATCAAAATTCATTCTACTTTCTCTTGGTTTCTTCAATTACTCTTAAATCTGAAATGACATTCAATTGGACTTGGTTACCTTATGGAAATCAGATTACGGTCCTTTCTGTAATGTATCAAAACACCAAGTTGGCTGCTGCAATGTCTACTCACATTATGCCTTAAAACCTATTCAAAGCACATCACGAAAAAATATTTGCATACCAACTTTAGAAAACAATTCTATGCCAATATGATCCATATTTTTTGTAGAAGTTGCAGTAGCTTGTTAAGAAAATTCTGTTTACCGAATAGTAGGATGACCATCTGAACCTTGCAAGAGGGTTGTGAGCCGTGACACCACGTCGTTCAGATGATTGAGTTGTACACCTTGTGTCTCCCGTGCTTTTTTTCTTCATCGACTTGTTTGATTAGCTGCTCTCTTTCCTTCGTAATTTCCTCCCAATCTCT